GAAACAAGAACCTTTTATTCTGCGCTCAGTTACTGATATTGTCAGAATTCACAACAACCGCGTGCAAGCATTTTTAACCTCCTACAAAGCATCACTTTCGCAAGTTATTAGTTAAAGAAATTTTTAACGTGCGAAAAATATCAATCACTTTACAAATATTTCTAAATAATTTTCATATTATTGCAAATGTGCGTTCTAAAATTCCTACAATTTTTTTTAAAATTTTTAATACACGCTTTTAAGTTTTCGCCATATTTTTAAGCGAAATGAAATGCATTATGTTGCGGGTTTCCTTAACGACCTGAATTCCAACGCGTTTCACGATAGCTGCAAAAACACCTGAACACTTGCTTTGCGAGTGGCAAGACCTAGCGCCCGCCAGTTCGCCGCCCGCAAGACCCAGGTGCCACGCGGGTTGCATAGATCCCCTTCCACATCTCCTCTTGCACAATTTTCTTAACCGCTCAGTAAGCACGAGTTTAACTACACAATGGGTTAGTTCCGTTCAATGTAATGTTATACATCGCTAAATAGTGAAGTTTGGAAAGTAAAAAAATAATCACATTTGCAATACGTTGATTTGAAAGGGATATAGCAAATTGCATACCTTCGTTGCACATCAAGCAAATATATAGATAATCCTATACCTCCTTGAATTCGCAAAAAAAAAAAAAAACATGTTGAATGCATCACATTACCCATAGGAATATTCGTAATAAAAGAGTTCGTAATACTTCAGTATTTCATAATATGATTTTCCTACACCAAAGTAGTTCTAACAAGCCAAAAACATACCACTTCACTTTCTTATAGAGTTGCTGCCACATACAGATTAATAGTACAGCCTGTATATGGAATTTCCAACAGGACAATCAAACACACATTTATACTACACACTTGTCAATGACAAAAAACACTTTGTGATAGATCGTATTAACACACATGAAATGAATAATCTAGTTCAAAACACCTACGCAATTTTATATTTATTGGCAAAGTGAAAGTAAATTTAAATCAATGCGATCCTCATGAAACTGGAGTTCATACAACACCTGCTACTCGTAACCCCACCCAGGGACGCGACCTTGTTTGGCGCGGTTGGCGACGGGCAAAGTTTGCAACGACCGTATGGAGGGGAAAGCTTTGCAAAAACGGACTGCCCCTTTTCTAGCAACCAACACACTCTTCTACAATTTTGTAGATTGTACGCATTTCCTCAGAGATGAAATGAGAACTTAAAACGGGAATATCAGAATTAAAAACCATTATTCACAAGAGCAAGAAAGTCAGACTACAATCTTCCTTCATAATTCATTTAACGTAAACATAGCTCTCAGCCCCTAATGTACGTCGAACGTACCACGATGACAGTTTCATAATAACAGATTTTCTTAGAAACGTTATTACACATTCTCATAATTATAAAGAAAAAATGTGAAAAATCTCTTGAAAAAATATGTCGAATTCATACTTAATGCAATGCAAAAATTATTTTAAAAAAGGTATTTAAAAAGGTTTCCAGAAAACTTCCCATTCATTCTTATCAAAAAATTAAAACACACGAGAGGAGAGCGTTCGGAGAGAACAGGGAAACCAGAAGACTCGTTATGATTTGGATCTCCCCACTATCCTATACCGACGCCCATCACCCCGAAAATCGGAGAAAGTGAAAGAAAGCATTAAAATTACGCAAAACCACAACAATGCGAGGCTGTAACAAAAATGCGAAATTGGTTAGCCTTTGCTGTTTTTTACTTTTTATGTATAACAATCTATGCAATACGAGAAACAAAAATGTATGGGCAGTTGGCTTTGCAAAATTCTACACTGGACTGTGACGCGTGAAAACCATTAGGTACAACAAAATCTGAAACGTATTGATAAACATAAACAAAAACAATTTTACATGCAATTATTATTTCCTGGTAAAACTACTGTTATGCAATATAAGAATATCAGCATTAATTCAGCTCTTACTTGCGTTTTTTTGGAAGCAAGCAAACAAGAAGTAATCTGTACGCGCAGAGAAACCATAACCTATCTGCAAAATACCGTCAACGTTACTACCATATCCTATCTCTACAGTTATTTGGAAAAAATGAAGAAATTGAAACAAGCTCACTATAAAAATACGAAAAAACAAACTAAAAATGTGTATATACGTATGCTAGCATAAGTATTTCCCAGTATTCATAATTAAGTTACAGTTCATAATATATTTTTTAAATTTAATAATAATGGATCATAAAAAAATACTTAGAGAAAAATAGAAGAAAAAAATATAAGGTGTTGTCATGAAGTTGGTCTATCCGTCTTATACTCGAGGAACCAAAACAATGCAACCACGGACACTGAAGGCGGCCGCGCTGGAACAGCAGAAGCGGCAAGAGAAATGGGGAACCACGAAGGGCGAGGGAAACGACTTTCTCTACCCTACTCTACTCTACGTAGATCAAATGCTCAAAGAGACCCACATCTTTGATTTGTCCGCACGTCATATGAAAGGAGTATGTGCAAGGTTAGAACACCTTTGGGAAACTTGGATGAAATCTTAGTCGCTCAATTATTTGCGGGTGATCAAACGAATACACAGAAGTTTCTTTGATGTTCTCTTGCTTCTCCTTCCGCTTGTCTTCATCACCCTCATCATACATATACCTCTTTTCTTTCTCGCGCACGCGCCTTCGATTAGCAATTGAGAAAGCGCTATCTAGCAGCAGTCTCGAGTAGCCCCGTAGCGGAACAGCCGCCTCTGGTAGTCTCACCGCAAAACAAATCGAAATGAACAGTTAGGGCATTGGCGGAAAGTCAGGGAGGGTACGGAAAGGACAAAATAGGAATGAAGAGGAGGGAACCGCAAAAGAAACGTAAAATTAAGTGAAGAAAGAATGACGGAAGAAATTAACCACCAAGGGACGGAAATGAATTACGCGAGCAATAGCAACCTCATAGGATCAGCCTCTTGTCTCTTATGAAACGAGCAGCTGACAGCGACTGGATACAGGACTGCGGAAGGCACACAGCATGATTTGCGTGGAGCGGAATGAATCGATTCGTCCCCAAGAGAACTAAGTTCCGATCAAAGTGGTGGAAATGCAAGCGACGCGTTTAACACTTTCTTCCAGAAGACTTTCAAAGGACAAGAACGATGATTTCAAGAAGATAAAAAACATGCCCAAAAACACGATCATTCAAAGGAAATTAAGGAGAAAATATAACAAAATTCTCTCTTTAAATACAGAACCCTAAACCCTGAAGAGCAAACGTGCGAGTTCTGTTCGCAAGCGATTCTGCGACAGCAATTAGACGAGAAACAGATATGGCCGTTAATCAAACGAGTTAATACACAATTTGATTGGTCCCGGGCGCATTATAATTACCACTCCAAAAGCAATTTAACATTAACAATTTTAAGTTAATGTTTTTCCACTCATAACGTTCTAATCGTCTATAGCCATAATGGGTTATTTGAATTATCGCAATCAAACTAGCTACATCCATGCATTATGTTTATGTGTGTTTAGGAAGAATAACTCACGTTCATTTTCTTAAAATAATTGTTATTAAAGAACGTTAGGTATTTTCGGAAAATCAATTTTTACGTCAAGGCAATAATATTAACTACTAACTTAAATATTAGAAATAGCGCCTCCTAAAATGTAAATCAAGTGTGACTTAGCTGAAGTGTGACACAAACAAGCTAGTTGAAAAAATTGCAACAGACTTTTTGTTATTATATAAAAGACGTAGGTGGGGGCGAAATAATTTTTAAACAAATAACACAGATAATTGAAAACCAATCACATTTTTTTTATGCGAGAGATGGGTTAAATTGCATACCATCTACGCTGCACCTAAATGAAATCGATATGCAGCCGAGACCGCCACCACTTCCCAGAGCTGCTTCCCTCTGGCGACGCAGGAGCAGGCAACAAGATACGAGAGGAGAAGAATGAAGAGGAAGGCGCGAGAAGAGAGATGGGCGAAGGTGTCGCGTGGAATGGGTGGCGGCGGTCGGCCGCAAGGGCACCACAGCGGCAGCCGCAGCGAGCGGGAGCCCACAAAGCCGCGTGACGTTCAGACGAGGCGGTTAACCGGCGGCCGGCACCACGCTTCACGCCCCGCTTGTTCCGTCCCGCCCCGCCCACCACGACCCGACCGTTCCCGCCCAGCCCCGCCCCACCCCACCGCAGCGCCCTTTCATGTGAGCTACGCGCGGTGGCAAAGGCGCGCCCGCAAAGGCGATAAGCGGAGGGCTCTATGACGAAAATGCGTGGGCGTAGACGACTGACCCACCTGAATGAGTTTTATGCTGTACACCTGCTAACTGACCCGTATCGAAGCGAAAAAGAGGCAGAACTATTAGGTTTTACAAAACATCTTTGTCTGAAGAACTCAACGTAAGGTCAGTAAATTTATCGTGAATATAAGTACAACGTTCCTTCTCCTTTTCGCAAATATTTATTTCCAGACGCTCTGTTTCTTTGTAATTTATAAAACACGAACATCAGCGTGGTCACCATCTTCTCCAGATTTGTTCCTCCTATTCGTCCGCACAAGATATCTCTTAATGACCTAGAAATGATTTTTCTATTTTCTCATGTTTCGTTTCCTCATTTCTTCAAGCATATATACTGGACTTTATACTTTTTTTTCCCAACCAGCTCAAGCTCATCATCATCCTCCATATTTTCATATATCTGCTTCTACTTTTCACTGCTTCGCATCACCATTCCACAGGTCTGGAATTCAGGAAGTAGATAAGGTGTTAAAACAAACATACGTTGTCACACGTTCGGTTTAACTTACTTTAAGCTTTTAATTAAATGCCTGTTAAATATTTCCCGCTTGTGCAAACAGCGAAGAGTATTTTTGAAATAAAAAGTAAAACAAAGAAAGGCTAAAATGAAAGCTCAAATTCGTGTAGTGATGGTTACGTGGAAAAAAGTACTGCTAACGCCTCGTGTGCGCAGAGCGAGTTCTCCACAACCAGCGCTACAATGTCGTGGGTGCCGCCCAACATGGCGCAGCTGTGCCAGCCGCACGCGCGCGTCAGCACGTGCGCGCCCTCCACCATGCTCTTTCTGGCGCTGGTGGCGCGCCTGCTGGGGCGCTCCCGCGATGCCGCCGCCCCCGCACACCGCCCCGCCACGGCGCCCTACTTCGACGACTTCACCTCCTACTTCGACGAATTCGCCAGCGCCGGGGAGGCCGGCGGCGGCAGCGGCGGCGGCGCAGGAGGAGGTGGAGGCGGGGGCGGCGGCGAGGAGGAGCGCTTCGACTTCATCATCGTGGGCGCGGGCTCCGCCGGCTGCGTCCTCGCCAACAGGCTGACGGAGATCCACAAGTGGCGGGTATGGAAAGGCCTCGTAATGCAACAAACGAGGAGCGCCTTCAACAGATATTCCCAATCCCACACTTGGAATGACTCCTTTTAAAAGACTGGTTTCCTCCATCAATTTTTGCTTTTTCTCCCTATTCTATAGTATAAGGAAGAAAGATATTGGAATCCCCTCAGCAATACATCAAATTTGAGGTCGTAAATTCCGTATTTAAGGATCTTTTGATGATGCTTTTAGTAATGTTCCAAAGATGGTTAAGATTGGTGCAGGCAACGAGGAGATACATGCAATTTAGTACCCGAAAATCGGGATGTCTCTAAGGATGGAGGAGTATTTGTCACAAATAACCGTTCGATGAAAAGCTTTAAAACTGAAATTTGGAAAATATGTTAGGAGTACGATCTAGTTGCATCTTTCTGAAGATAATTATTTTAATTGTTGGGGGTTCTATACATGAAAGCCGTATGACATACACAAAATTTTCTGGAAAATGGATGCAACTTTGTTCTTCAAATTTATTGCTGAAATAGAATATACTTATAAAAATGAATGTACTTATAAAAATGGTACATTTCCCATTTTCATTAAAATCTAAGAAAGTTTGAAAACTGTTTTTGAACCTGCCCTTCACCTCCAAGATTAAAATAGAATATTTTTCTCAAGGCAATTCATCTATTTTAGATCTTTAAATGAGATCTTGCATTTTTTTCATACATGTGTGAGAAGTTGTATTAATAAGCTGCACTAAGAAGGACAAGTTTCGGTTTCAACCATTTTGTACATAACTATATACAGTTACAATATACAGTATGGTTGAAACCGAAACTTATCCTCCTGCACATAAATGAATAAAAGATAACAATTAAGACTAATCATACACTTATGATTTATTGCTCTGGTATTGTTATTTCTAATTGTACAAATATAAACCATTTTTCAGAATAAAAATGCAAGATATTCTAATTGAACGTTTGATTCCAAAAACAAAAATAATGTACAATAATTGTCATGTTTTCAAGATATAAAAAAAACAAGTATTACTCCGATAATATTAACTCACAATCCATGAGAACTAGATTATACCGATCATTCGGCGATTCATATTTGGGAATCAAATCCTTGATTACCAATGCCCTTCAAAACTGAATCGGCCGTTAGAAGGTCGAAACTATCCCCATAGGGATCACCCGGTCTCAATCAACTGAGACTTGCTGGCGTGAGAACCGAGCGTGGGCGTGCGTGCCACAGGTGTTGCTGCTGGAGGCGGGCATCGAGGAGCCCCAGGCGGCCGCCGTGCCGGCCTTCGCGCCGCTGCTGCAGCGCTCCAACGTCGACTGGAATTACCGCACCATGCCGCAACCGCACGCCTGCCTCGCGCGCCCCATGGGCGGTTGCGGCTGGGCCAGAGGTAAGACCCCCACGCCGCAGCACATGTCTAGCACGCATGATCAATGATTATACAACAATCATTTCAAATTAATCCTTGATTTTTCTATTGGTGATCAAAGAATTGGTATACCAATTCTTAATAAACACTATCATCAATATCTACATCTGCTATCAATACAGTTAGCATCAATATGTCAAACACACTCTCAAAAATCATTATTTCACCACATTGTTAGGGTGAAAATTATTATCGACGAGAGTTTCTAGAGTCTTCAGAAGCCCCCTTTAGTAGAGGGCTTTATTTAGATTTCCCTCGATAATATGATCCGATTTTAATATCTACAGCAAAGAAAGTCATCCACTGAACATTCAACAGAATGTCCTGTGAAAAAGCGATTATTAACCGCTGTTTGTTGTATGAATTAAATGAGTAATTATGTGTTATTTATGCGCGAATGCAAAAGCTCGCTCATTCAGCCTTCGGCGTGTTTGGCAGGCAAGGTGATGGGCGGTTCGAGCACCATCAACTACATGATCTACGCGCGCGGCAACCCGCGCGACTACGACGAGTGGGAGGCGGCGGGCAACGAGGGCTGGGGGTGGCGCCACGTGCTGCCCTACTTCAAGAAGTCCGAGGACAACGAGGACCCCGAGATCCAGCACCACCAGCCGCACCTCCACGGCAAGGGCGGCCCGCAGACCGTCGAGTGGTTCCCCTTCCAGGACCCCAACGTGGACGCCTTCGTGCACGCCATGGCGGAGACCGGCCTGCCCGTCACGGACATCAACGGCGCGCGGCAGATCGGCGTCATGCGCTTGCAGACCACTTCAAGGTCGGCCTACCAAAGCTTTATACGAACATTTGCATTCACTTTGGGGCTTATTGCTGTACCTCCACGATTATCTGCCAAGAATTTCACTTTCTCGAGCCTTGCTTCAGATCAAATAGCAAACAAATTGAATAATTTACTGAAGATTATATATTCGTATTCCTCGGAAATCTTCATAATTCTCAGAAAATAATACGCCCTTAAAAAGTATATCTTTAAAGTTTTAAGCTCGAGCCTTTCAAAAAAAAAAAAAAAAAAAAAGCCTCACATTGACATTGATAATTCCAAAAATATGGAAGAATATCAGAATTCTGTACCCTAAGTATACCTCAAAATTAAAAAAAATTAAAATTTTCCAACAATGAAATTAGTGGCAGAATACTATTCGCAGTAATGGAAGCAATGACTTGATCATAGGTAATACCACTCATGCTTTGGAAATTATGGATAAATTCCCGACTCGCGAAGCGAAGATGGGATTTTTCCGAGAATTTCCAAAGCACCAGTGGTATTTAATAGGACTATTCAACCAGTGAAATTACGTCCAAAAGAGTTTCAAATTGCGCCAAATATTGAAAATGACTGAAAGTATACGTTAATATCAGAGGTTATGTCATAGTACATAGTAGTATGATACATACGGTACATAGTACATACATTGGACATCGACATAGCTATCGATATAACGCCTCCTAAGATAGCTGAAACACAGTTTATGATTGGTCATTAGGTAGAAGCAGTAAGAAAAATCGGATATAAAAAGAGATATACTTTTTGAGATACAAAATGCCCCAATAAGGGCGATGTATGTAGAGTTAAACACTATTGGTTTTAATTTCACGAGTGAAATAGCCAATGTACACACTATAATAATAATTATAGCACCTTTGATACTTTAGCAGTCAAACTGAAAAGAAGTTAAGAAAGTTATCTCCACACAAAAAAGGGAAGGAGAATACGAAGTCATAACTGAAGTCAAAATATAACGTCCTTATTTTTCGTTTGAAAATTTACCTACTTCGTTTTACCAACTACATTGGTGAATTATTTTCATACTCAATAGCAATACAATCTTACACTGAGAATGTAATAGCCACTTCTTCACTGCTTAGAAACAAGCATTTTAATAGATAAAGAAATGGATTTGCTGATGAATTCGATCTGTTATATCTTCGTAGTTTGTAATTTCGAATAGAAACGCATTACAGATAAAAAACAAATTACAACACTAGATCGCACGAGCCATTTCCGGGAGTCACATCGCTAACACCGCGTCCTCCATGTCCCGGCAGGCACGGGGAGCGGCTGAGCACCAACGGCGCCTTCATCCGGCCCATCCGGCGCAAGCGCGCCAACCTGGTGGTGCGCACGGAGGCGCACGTGACGCGCGTGCTCATCGACCCGCACACGCGGCGCGCGGTGGGCGTGGAGTACCTGCGCCAGGGCGCGCGCGCGCTCGCCACCGCGCTGGCCGACAAGGAAGTGGTGCTGTCGGCGGGCGCCATCAACTCGCCCAAGGTGCTCATGCTGTCGGGCGTGGGCCCCACGGAGCGCCTGCGCCACCTCGCCATCCGCCCGCTGCACCACCTGCCCGTGGGCTACAACCTGCAGGACCACGTCACCACCGACGGGCTCGTCTTCGTGCTCAACAAGACGGCCACGGCCGTGCAGCCCGAGCAGATGACGCGCGACTTGCACAAGTTCGTGCAGACGCACAAGGGACCGCTCTCCGCCACGGGGCCCCTGCAGGTGATTGTTCTTTCGCCCGACCCCCTTCACTCTTATCCTTCACGCACACAATGTGAAGTTCTACCTTCTACTACATGTAATGGAAATATTAAAAAAAACTTCAGAAACAACGCTGCGCCATTTTCCTTCCATTACTATTACTAAAATTATGTCAATTCATACCTATCAATTACACCAAAGGCTAAACAGGGGCAATGATACTGCAGTAATTATGGAATTCAAAACATGAATCTAGTCTGTAAAAACCGTGTTATTGAACATATTTCGATTAAATGCTACAAATATTAACAATTATTTAACATTATACGGGAATTCGCGAAAAATGTAAAAATATAAAGTATCAGTAATATCCGGACAAGAAATGTTATCTTCGCACACATTATGGAAATAAATTCATTTTCGTGATTAAGTATTATAGAAAGCTCAATATTTCTGGGATATTTTTCGAAAAACAAGACAAAAAAGCATGTTCAAAATATATAATACAGAAACATTACTGATTATTTTAAAGCGCGCATTAAATAAACTTCCGGTACGGCAATTACAGTTTATCCTTGAAGGCTGTTTTCCCAGTTTTGAATTTGGAGCGAGAACGCCTCAGCGCGATCTACTGCCAAACGTGGGCAGCGACCAGTAGTTGTGTTTCCGGCGCTACCTGCCGCAGTTCCTTGGAACTCTTTGCTCACCGCCCACGCAGTAGAAAGGATTGGAACATGCGCCGTCGGGTAGACCTTACCAGATCACTGAATGGAGCAAGGTCATCTCGTGGCCAGTCAATACTGTTTCAATAGCCCAAGACCATACCCTAACTACGCGATTATGTCTCTGGTCCAAGGGCAGACGGAAATTATTTCGTAACAGTTGAAGGTCACTTTCATATCTGATCCTTGGTGTTCGCGTTATTAAAATGGAATGGGAATTCCGTGAGTAAACTAAGTATGATAGTTTTAAGGTCGAATGCAAAAGTACCCAGGATAGGACTTTAATAGAAATGCCAAAAGGCAAGTGTCAATAAAAGAAGAGAAATAATATTTGCTCGACAAAATTAAGGATACATTTTGTGACTTCAGAATATTTAACGCAAACGACATAACACTGCCCTGCTCGGTTTAACTAGTATAGTAAGTGGGGAACCTTTGTATTCAGTAAAGTGAATTCTGCGATATCCGGTATGAATACTCCACCCATGCTTTCAAAATGTTTAGCGAAAGAGCATTAATATCGGTATTTTACTAGTGCATTTCACACACAAAGTTGGAAATTCAAATGTGTAACCTGAGCAAATTTACTTATTGAAATATTTGATTGTTACCACAAGTGAGCAATATATTTTATCAATCTCTGTACAATCTTCATTCATGAAAGTACACAAGAGTGATTACTATCACGTGAGGAGGTGAATACTAGTATAAATTGTAATAAATAATACTTTAATAAGTATATTATAATTTTTTAAAGAAATCATTTTAAGAACTACCAGTTTATCTAAATCCTATATTTGCACAGTGCGTGAAATTTTATGATCACTTTGTAAATTTAATCAGTGAAGTTATCAACCATTCGTAACGGCTTGCTGCTTGTAAATCCAAACATTCCGAAGATACTACCATTGAGTGAGTGAAATGTAGCCTGTTGTGTGGTAACGTGTGCACAGGTGGGCGCCTTCATAAGCTCCAGCTACCAGCAGTACCACGACGACAAGGACGTGCCGGACCTCCAATACTCGTTCGACACGGCCAACGTGCAGGACCTGCTGAAGGACCCGGTGCAAGCGGCCGAGACGAACGTGCAGCCGCTGTCCTACTACGACGGCGTGACCATCCGCCCCATCCTGCTGGCGCCGCGCAGCCGGGGCTTCGTCACCCTCAACGACAGCGACCCGGTGTGGGGCGCGCCGCTCATCTTCCCCAACTACTTCGCCAAGGAGCCCGACCTGGACGTGATGGTGGAGGGCATGCGCTCGGGCGCGCGCCTCGTCTTCACGCACGCCATGCGCCGCATCGGCGCCCTCATCCTGGACCTGCCCATGCCCGCGTGCGCGCACTGCCGCTTCGGCTCCGACGCCTACTGGCGCTGCGTCGTGCAGCAGTACACCGCCACCATCTTCCACCCGGTGGGCACGTGCAAGATGGGGCCCAAGTGGGACGACGAGGCCGTGGTGGACCCGCGCCTGCGCGTGCACGGCCTCAAGGGGCTGCGCGTCGTCGACGCCTCCATCATGCCCAAGATCGTGCGCGGAAACACCAACGCGCCCGTCATCATGATCGCCGAGAAGGCCGCCGACATGATCAAGGAGGACTGGCTGTAGCAAACCGCCAGCGAAGAACATCTCCACGCGCCCGGTGCTTTTACAGAGCCATCAGTATATGCGTTGTTCATTATGCGCTGCATTAGCCCTCGTTTTTTCTCCGAGAAAAAGGTTTTTTTCTTCCCCAACGGGAAGTTTCCAAGTCGTTCATCATCCTCAGGGTTCCCTTCCCTTTGATGTCGAGAAGTAAGATGTTAGGAATAAATTTTCTCGTTCGTTACACAAGTCTCTCGAGCCTTTTGTGAATCTTTTTCTGGGGTGTTACGCCCGAAAGAACATTAGAATAGCAGAGCGACAAGGTTGCCAGTTCCAAGAAATGAATCAACGTTCTGAGCGTAATTTTAATTCCATTCTTAGAAATAGTATTTTCTGATCTCAGGAGCCTCAAACTCGCCATTTGTGGAAACGTGAGCAAAGGAAAAGGGGATTTATCGCCGGGTGAACACGTACAAACGATTGTTCAGGTGATCTTGTTTCGGTAATATAGAATTGAAGATATATGTATCTTTAAAATATAATCCGAATTTTTAACTCGGCTGCATCGTGGTTTTAAGTAATCAAAGCAATATTTCTTCAAATGTACCCAAAGAACACCCTTTCACGGAGAAGTTATTTTTTTTTTACATTTATAAGTCCTTTTTACAAGGACAATTTGGCAAAGTAGATTTACTAAAAAAAATTTTGTTCAAAACAGTTGGCATGCACGACCGGTCTTGGGCCAAACAGTGACCGCCTGAAGTCGCCTTTATCACGGTAGAGATGCGTTAGCGGTCCGGACCTCCTCAACGCCCCGTGATAAAATTACGATGTCAGATTTTCTTACTCCTTCAGCACTGTACATAATGTGCCACCCAAGCCGCACACATCCCTTTGTTGTATTACCCTTATCAGTGACCCTTGTTATGTGATAAATTATTTTTTTACTAATGTATCAATGTTGTGTTCATCTAATATTAATTTCTTCTATTTAAGAGGGTGTATGAAAATAAATGTTTGCAATAAAATGATAACAATAACTCCAATTATTTTTATAATCGTTCCAACTCTAACAAGAGGAACACTAAAAAACATAGAACAAGATTTCAGATTAGTGAAATAGATTTAGGATTAACGAAATATTATACTGCAAGATAATTAATCTCTCAGTATCAAAGTATTTTAAGGTTCAGATTAGTTTCGCAGAAAGTCATTCATACTAATTCAACAAAGCGTAGTATTAATTTGCATAAATCAAGGATGAAGAAAAACAAGGCCCAAATTTAATTCAATAATTACAAAAGAAAAGCTTACTTTATTTGAATGTAACAACGTCGATAAATACACAAAATAGGGAAAGATATTATACAAAAAATACAAAATGGACACTACATACAAACACACCAACGAAAGATATTTGGTTTTGACGGTTTATGAGAAAATATCGAAACAATCACGTAAATGTATTATTGCTGGATAGAGAATCACCAATGAGCCTCAATAAAAGTGATTTAATACGAAAAACATAGAAGTAAACATTAGGGACATTTGGGAAATCAAGCGCAAACGCAACTCACGGCAAAATTGCACTGCAACAGCGCAAACCTCAAAAACGATGCGTCCTATGTCCTTAAAATCATATTTTCGTAGTACAGGGACATGACGGAATACTTTTTCTACAAAATAATGTATTTCTAGTCGTTTACGATGTGTTTGGAAGGTCTCTCATTTGGTAACCACGGTTACCAGACACGCTAAAATTTATGTTCCAGTGTGAAGCTATCTTTATTTTTAAAACAATTATTTACAGAGTGCGTAATGTTCGCATGGGTCCAGTTAGTTACATTTAATAGTAAATACCACGAAGAAAAAGAACATCCTAAAATATCACAAACTCAATATTAATTTCTGAGGAAATGTTGATATTATTGAAGACCGACAAAAGAAAATTAAATGAGTCCATAACAAGCGCAATATTCTAAAGAAGTCTATTCGAATAAAAAAGTAGTAAATGCAATACATGGAGCTCGATTCGATTGGATTCGATTTTTCACGCTCGGAAAATTACGACAGGACCGGCGTGTAGCAACCGCAAGTGTAACAAGCAAATAAGAGTAGTCGCATTGTTTCCTTTGGGCCAGATTACCCCACCGCGTTCCTGCCGGCTCTGCCGCCGAACGCGCCGAGGAGAAAGTGGCTCCGGAGAAGTGATTCGACGCAAAACCACAGCCCCTGGGGACAGACTGCCAGGCCCGGGCGACAGGCGAGTGAGGCGGGGAGCGATCCAACATGAAGCGGATGAGGGTTTGAGAGGGAGCCTTCGTTGCTTGATTAATAGTTCCTTATACACTAAAACAGATCGTCCCGATAAGAGAGGGTAAGGCGCAACAAAAACAAAGCACTCTCAGTTCCCGTTCCTTCCTTGTAAATCTATTTACCAACTTGTAACGTAAACAGTCATGGTATCATACAATAGAACCAGACTATAATTTACCTAGTTATAGGTAGCAAATTATACATTAAAATTTAAGGTTTTCACGCAATCCGTTGTAGAAGACACACTTCATGATTCACTCGAAGTTACTTATATTGACCTTCATTAATGAGCAAATCGCAAATATCACGATTTTGGGGAGACGTTTAGGTAATGCCGATTCTGCTTTCTCTCACCGAAGCAGTATAAAGTTGAAAATGCGAAGAAAGCAAAGACTTGTGAAACATCATGATGACCTTGCCGTTCTCGATGAAATTGTTCGTATTGTGAGAACATTCTTAGGTGCCTGGAAACAACGCTCGGTTGTAGAACTACATTATGACTGAAAACTTTAATTCACGGGATTACGCCATAGAGACACAGAGAAGCACGCTCGTTCCACTTAGAGTACCCACTACCAAAAAACACAAATTGAAATAAATATCAAAACTAAATTTAACTGGAGTATACTAGTAGTGATTGATGTTTTCATGTTAGTAAGTTTATGTTTTCAAGTGGTTTACAAATTATTACTGACATCAAATTCTAAATGGAAACAGTTTTATCCCCAATTAAAATCACAACATAAATCTTATTAAAATCACACAACATTAATCACACATTAATCATAAATATTCATTTGAATATGGAATAAAACTGCGATTCCTTGTTTTTGCATAGAAATCCCTTTAATTGGTAAATAAATATCACTGAAATGTATAATAAACAAATTCCGAATAATTAATCAAAAAGACAGGGGTATATAGGAGTTCATGAAAGCGAAAGAGCTGGCTTCGCGAGGTTGGAAGAGAGAGAGAATGCCCAAGATATATCGTGGCGTGTGTTGGGTGGGGCAGGCCACGCACAGGTCGAGAGAGAAAAAAAAGCGGCGGTGGCGAGGCACAATGGCACGGACAGGCAGCGGCACGGCCTTCCCGGCGGCCGACAGGGGTACCTATCTCCCACGCGGGAAGGTCGCCGCGGCGCGCCGAGCCTCGCCACGAGCACGACTCCTGGCTGCCGAAACTACATACTTGTACGCACATAACAAATACGATTTCTCAGAAGAAACTCCTCCAGAAAAGGGACAGATGCGTCGAGGACGCAGCTGTGATATCCAAGCAGTTAGTAAGCTCTGATTGCTTTCATTATAAATTATGAAAGTCACTCTGAGGTAAGAGAGCATTTCCTTTACTCCAAAACAGATCCTATTCCTACATTCAGGGTTGGAATATAATTTATTAAAGCAACGTACACCATCAATTAGGGCGGAGAAAGTCTTGAGCATAGCAAGAAATATTTAGAACTAAACAATTACCACTTTAAAAGGCTTCTATAGTAACCGAAAAAAAAAAAATAATTACAAATTCACCAAAGAGGAAAAACAAACTTCAAAAAATTGTATTCAGTGTCTGTATTCAGAAGGAAATGGTATTAATAAAAACCGACATAAAAATCACAGTGAATCGAGTGTCAAAAAAACGTGAAATAAATTAGTCACACGGGTGAATAGGAATAGCAACGTAAGAAAACTGATTCAAAGTACCAAAAGAACGGGTTCAAATGCTACGTTTTATGTAATATACTAGCAATCGCTGAATCAGGAAAGAAAGTAGAGACAAGCGACTGCACTTCAATAAATCAATGAAGGATGTTAACAGGTGATGAACTCGTTTCACGTAGTTTAGCAACAGACACGCTTCTGATACACTGCGTTACCGGCTGAACAAGATCCGGTCTTCGAAACCACACTTCCAGAACACAGCCCCCGTTCTCTTTCTAGTAGTTACTAACGGGAAAATTAACTCGCAATTGGATATAAAATTTTTACATAACGAACGGAACCTGCTACGCGAGCTCTGGCACTCGCTGGCCGCGCACGCAAAGCCGCGTTAACGCCTTCGTTTTTGACTGAGCCGTTGCGACTGGTTTCCGCTCCAACGACGCTCGTAATGCTTCCCCGCTACCCTCTCTTCTCAATAAAAAAGGTGCATGCGCCGATTTCTCCCCGTCTGGCGGGCGACTCAGCCCGGGCCTAATGGGGAAGGGATACGGAGGGGGGGGGGGACTGACAAACGGGGGAAAAAGTCCGGAGCAGTTCCCGTCGCCGTCGCCGTCTCCGCGTCCACGCCTGCAAAACCACAGCGGCAGCAGCGGCCCTGCCGAGCGGAACTGGCTGCGACGGAGTACCAGCAGACCCCCCTGAGGCGCTGGCGGCGAGAGGAGGGGATGGCAACGGAGGCGAGAAGGTGGAGCAGAGAGCAAAACCAGAAGCAGTGGCAAACGCAACGGCCAACGTCACAGCATCACGGAAGGGGAACAGTTCGAGGAAAAGGACGGCGACGGAAGCGGAGGAAGGAGACCACAATCCGGAGGAGTGAGAAACGAGCGACGGGCAATGACGAAAGGTGTTGATTAATTTCGGGGGGACGACGGACGAAAGTGGCAGAAACAACAGAAATTGACCGGCAACAGAGCAACACGGGGGGAAAGGAGGGGGCGACGGCGGAGGTGAAGTCAGGGCGGGTGGAAGCGGGGAGGCACCGGCGGG